CCTGGGCAAATGTTTTGACGGCCCTGGGGCCCTGTGAGGGCCCCCGAAGGCCGAATACAATAGATATATATATATATATATATATATATATATATACATATATATAGACACACACGTATATACGTACATGCTCATTAGAACCACGCGCGCGCGCTTTGCGCGCGCCTAGGTTCTAGCAAGCTCTAGTTGTAGTCTAGGGTGTGCGGTATTGGAGGACATATATTGTCGCACGGCTCGTGCCCTCAGGGAGCTCCACCTGCAGCCCCGGAGACAAGCTCGGCTAGCGTTCCCCCGTCCTTGTCGGCACACCCCTCACAGGGATCGCGCCCCAGAGCTCCACCTACGTCCCCAGAGCCAAGGCTCGCACAGTGGCACACCCCTCACGCGGAGCGTGCCTCGCAAATAACTGTATTTGTGGCACCAGAGTGAAGCTTCATAGCGTCGCCCCGCTCACTTCGGCACACCTCTCACATGGCCCGCAAGGGATTCCACGGACGGCCCTGCACCCAAATTTCGCATCCCGCCCTCTCGTCTACTTCGGCACACCTCGCACACGGATCGTGGCCCAGAGGGATCTCCACCTACGGTTCCTGAGGCGAGGTTCGCACTGCGCCCCCCCTGGCCATTGCGGGACACCCCATCACGCGGATCGTGCTCACAAGGAGCGCCACCTGAAAGCCCAAAAGACAAGGTTCGTTCAACGCTCCCCCGCTCATGTCGGCAGAACCGTCACGCGAAGCATGCCCCAGAGGGATCTCCACCTATGGCACCACTGGGCAGCTTCGCATGGGGTACCCCTGGCCATTTCGGGACATGCCTCGCACGGGTCGTGCCTGGAGGAGGCCCACCTGTGGCCTCAGTGGGGGCATTCGCGCGAGGATATCCGAACTACTCGGCACACCCTTCACGCGGATCGTGCCCTCAAACAAAAATCAAGAATTCAGCACACCCGTGCATGCGTGCTCCGCAGCAGCCATCTTGCCGGTACCAATCACTTGCTCATCTATGGCCTTCGGCCCATACCGCCCTCCTCCTCCTCCTCCTCCTCCTCCTCCTCCTCCTCCTCCTCCTCCTCCTCCTCCTCCTCCCCCTCTTCTTCCTCCTCCTCTTCCTCCTCCTGCTCCTCTTCCTGCTCCTCCTCCTCCACCACCTCCTCCTCCTCCTCCTCTACTGTATCTGAGTTTTGTGCCAGAGGATCCTTGGATACCTGCAATCCAGGGCCTCCTGGCGTGCGCCTCGTGCCGCGAGTGTTGACGTTTCTTGTGGCCTCATGTGGGCCACGTGGGGGCCTCTCGGGGCATCTTCTGTGGCCCTTGGGAGCCTCTTGGGTGCCTGCTGCGGCCTCGGGGGCCCACTGGCGGCGAAAGGCTCGAAATGTCAAGTGGAGTTCCCCCTCCTGGACTCCTCTTGGGGCCCCATTGGGCCGTCTTGGGCGCCTCCTGGACCGTCTTGGGGCTCTCTTGGGCCGTCCTGGGGATCTCTTGGAGGCCTCTTGGGCCGTCTTGGGGCAATATGTGGGGCCTCTTAGGCCGTTTTCGACCCTGTTGAAACCCAAAGTGCGAATATGCTAAAAATGCACCGTCCCCTAAGGGATGAAACATGTTGGCCTCCTGAGGCCCTCTCGGGGACTATCTCGGAGTCTTCGAAGTCTTCGGGGCCTCTTGAACCGTTTTGCAGCAACATTCGGGCGTCTTCGGCCCTGGTCGCTTTTTGGTGGCCTCCAGGAGGCCCCGGAAGGGATCGGACATATCATAGGGGGACATCTGGCAGAGTGTCCTGGCCAGGGCCCCGGCCGTCCCCCCGTACGCCAGCGTATATGCAGGGCGTCTGGGGGCTCTCACCGAGCCCTGGCGTCCCTGTCTGCCCCTTACCCCGCGTTCTCCCTCTTTCCGATGCGAGCCGTGCGCGGAGATTTTGAAATACCTGAAGGGTTCTGAAGAACCTGCTTCTCGTCCTTCCTCCTCCTCATCACCACTAACTAACAGTCACTGGGTGGTGCGATTTGGTTGCAGACAGCTGCACTGAAGTAGTGACCAACACTGGTCTTCAGCCTTCTTTCGGCAACTTTGATGCCTCATCGGGGGCCTAGGTGGCCGTCTTGGGGCGATCTTAGGGGAGCAGTTGGGCCGTCTTAGACGCTGTGAAGACCAACACGGTGAATGTGTGAAACATGTACGTTTTCTAAAAAGGGAATGGAACGATTTGGGCCTCCTGGGGCCCTCTTGGGAGGCTTCTCGAAGCTCTCTCGGGGCGTCTTGGAAATCTCTGGAGCCGCCAGGGAGTTATCTTGAGCGGTCCTGGGGCGCTTTTGGGGCGCTTCTGGGTGCTCTTGGCGGCCTCTCGGGCAGTCTGGAAGCCATCGTGGACGCTTTTGGAGCGCCCTCAGGCTGTCTTGAGCGGACGGGAGGGGGTGGGTGGGCCCAGGTTGGGGTTCGAGGCCGTGGCTCCTGGGCCCCAATGTCCTTCCCCAGGTAGAGCAACGCAAGAAACTGCTGGGGAACTTCCTGTTCCGATGACGGGAACGTTTTCGGGTTCCTGGAAGCCTCTCTGGGAACCTGAAACCACGCCCATGTGGGAGCCCTCGTGGAGGTTTCTGTCAGCCTTTGGTGGGCGTTCTGGGACCGTCGTAAAACCCCCTTCTTCACCGCCCTCCTGGCGTGTCTATGCTCAATTGGAAAGCTGCCTGCAGCGCTCTCAGGCCATCTTGGGCGCCTCTTGGGCTGGTTTGGCGCCACATTGGGGCGCGTTCCCTCGTGCACGCCTCCTGTGCGGTCAAAGCGTCGGGAAGCGGAGCGGGCGACCACGCGAAACGTAATGGAAGACCGATGAGAAAGCCATGATTTTTGTCTATCGGGGCTGTTTCGGAACACACTTTAGACACCTCTTGGGCCTTCTTGATGCCTCGTGGGCCGCATCGGAGCGATGGTGGGCGTGCTTGGGCAGGCTTGGAGCCCTGTAGGCCTCCGTGACCACCCTTATGGCCTGTCAAAGCTCAATTGGGGAGCCACTTGGGGCCCTGTGAGGCGATTTTGGGCGCCTCGTGGACCGTTTTGGCGCCCGCTTGGGGTGTCTTGGAGCCCTGTTTGGTGCATCTTGTGCCGTCTCGGCGCGTCGGGCAGCGGAGCAGGCGGGCACACGAAAATCCTTTGAAAACACGCGTGAAGTTTTTCGCCCCCCTGGAGCCTCTCTCGAGGATGAGCTTGAAGCCCTCTTGGGGCGCCTTGGAGGCTGCCTGAGCCCGCATCGGAGCAATGATGGGCCTGCTGGGGCCGTTTTGGGGCCCTGTGGGCCTCGTTTAAGATCCTTGTAACGCGTCCGAGCTCAGTTGAGCTCATTTGGGGGGCCGCCCAGAGCCCACAGGGGCGATTTTGGGCGTCTCCTGGGCTGTCTTGGCGCCCTCTTCGGGTGTCTTGGGACCTTCTTGGGAGCCTCTTGTGCCATCTCTGGGCGTCGGGCAGCGGGGCAGGCGAGTACACGAAAAACCCCAGGGAGATCAGTGTTCGCCTTCTTGAGGCGTCGTGGAGGCCACGTGAGCGGTTTCGAAGCAATGGTCGGAGTGCTGGGAGCGCTGTAGTGCTCCCTGGCCCCCTTGAGAGCCCTTTTGGTCCCCTCCGGGCCCCCTGGAGCACCCCTTTGGAGCGCGGAGGCCCGCCGGGCCCCCCATGCGAACCAGAAGCACCGATATTGGCCCCCGGGGGGGCCCCCTTGGGCCGTCTTGGGGCCCTCTGGAGCCGTCATGGGGGCCCCTCTGTCGCCTCTTTGGCAGTCTTGGATTCCGTTAAAATTAAAGACGAATATGATAATTAAAACTAGCAGGTTTCCGAAGAGGACGTTGCGATTTTGGACTCCTGGGGTCTCTCTTTGTAGGCCTCTTGGGTCTTCTCGAAGCCATCTTGGGGCGTCTCGGAGCGATCTTGGGCCTCTGTCGGGGCGTCCTGGAGGTCTCCTGGGCGGTCTGGAGGCTATCTTGGGCGCTCATGGAGCGCTCTATGGCGGTCCAGGAGCCTCGGGGGCCTCCAAGAGAACCGCCGGGGGGGTGGGCAAAAATGTACAAGGGAGGGGCCGGCCCGGGCCCCCGGGGCCAGACTCTCTCATCCATGTATGTCTGTCTGTCTGTCTGTCTGTCTGTCTGTCTGTCTGTCTGTCTGTCTGTCTGTCTGTCTGTCTGTCTCTCTGTCTGTCTCTCTGTCTGTCTGTCTCTGTCTGTCTCTCTCTGTCTCTGTCTGCATGTCTGTATGTCTGTATGTCTGTACGTCAGTATGTACATTTGCATGCATGTATACATATGTATGTACACATGCATGACTCTGGGTCTGGATCCAGTAAATATTCCCCTGGGCTTGTTTTGAGAGGAAAAGACAACTGCATGAACATACTCTCTTCTGGGAGGTCCGCCCAGACTTCTTGGCTCGGCGTTGGACCTCCCTGGCGCGCGGCGCGCGCCAGGGGCGGCGCCAGAAGCGCCGCCAGGGGGGACCCATCGCCGATCCGAGAGATCCGCGCGGACCTTCGGAGGGGCGCGCAGACATGGATCCGCGATCCATGGATTTGGCGAGCGGTCGCCAAGTCCACGGATCGGGGGAGGTGCCCTCCCCCAGAATGCGGCCGGTGCCGCCTCGTCTGGCGGCGGAGATGCGCGAGTTCCCATGGAAGCGGGACCCGTCGCTAAGCCACGCCCCCTGGATCCATGGTTGCGATCGCCTGACAGGGAGGGTGAGGACAGGGAGGAATGAGACATGAAGAGGAAAGAACGATGCTGCAGACAAGCATGGGGCGTTCAAGACCCGCACCACCCCAAATGGGGCACTAAAGTAGAGCAAGCCTCAATCTTACCCCGCTTCCCGCTGCGCTCCTGCTCCGGCACGGTGGCGGGGCCATGCGTGCGGTCGCCCGAACCCTGGGCCAGGGACACCTCCGGCAGCACCCGGGAGGAGGCCCCCCCCGGAGGCGCCGCGCGCTCGCGCGCGAGAGGCGGAGGCTGGCTTCTGGGCACAAGCTCGTCAGGCGGCGCGGCCGGGGGGGCGCCCGGACTGCGCCTCCACGTCGGCGCGGTGCCTGAGGGGGTGGAGGAGGAGGAGGAGGAGGAGGAGGAGGAGGAGGACGAGGAGGAGGAGGAGGAGGAGGAGGAGGAGGAGGAGGAGGAGGAGCAGGATCAGCAGCAGCAGCAGCAGCAGCAGCAGCAGCAGCAGCAGAAGACATGAGACAATTCGCCGACGCACGCCTGCCATTGCTGAAGAGGCGTGTGAGACGTGTGGCTGTCCCCCTCCCCCTTTCCCCCTGTGCCAACTGCTGTTTTAGGCTTAAGTGGGGGGGGGGGCAGAGCTCGCCAACGCACCCCTGGGGTCTCCGGAGCCTCCGAAAAGCCATAAGACGGCCTAAGACAGCCCAGACAGAGCGCCAAGACAGTCCAAGAGAGCGTCGGGACAGCCCAGGATAGCCCCACGAAGATCCAAGATGGCTTCAAGACGGCCCACGAAGCCCCCAAGATGGCCCAAGAGCGCTACCAAAGGACCGCAGAGAGGGCCCCAAGAAGCAAACATCGTGCCAGTCCCTCCAGAAACCTTACCATTTTACTGCACACTCGTCGCTTTCATTTTGACAGCGTCTACGATGGCCCCAAGGGCCCCCTAGATCGTCACGACTAAGAGGGGGAACGCGGACTAACATGTCGAGCCTTTCCCGCCAAGATGGCCCCAAGAGCTCCCCAGAGGCCCCCAGGCCGCCCCCCAAGAGGCTCCCAAAAAGCCTCCAAGACGCCCCAAGGAAGCCCCCGATAGGCCCCAAAACGTCTCCCCGATGCCCTCACGATCCCTCCAAGACGCCCGTGAGAGACATCCCAAGAGACCCTGGTATTCATCCTCCACGATCGTAGCAGACTCTCGCTACTCCTCCTCCTCCTCCTCCTCCTCTTCCTCCTCCTCCCCCATTCTCTCGCCCCCATGTCAGAATACGCCCCCCAGAGGGATCCAAGTGAACCCCAACATGCACATGCGTCCAGGGCGTCCCACATGATACCTTCCAGACACTCCAACAGACTCCAAGACAATTCTCGCACGCCTCCGCGTCGTTACCTTCCTCATCCTCGTCCTCGTCCTCGTCCTCCTCCTCTTCAATTTACTTTTCTTACCCTTTTCCCTCTCCCCGTCCTCCTCGTCCCTCCTTTTTTCCGATTACCGTGTCAAGAACCCCTACGCTCGCCAACGACGGTGTCCAAAGTCCGCGAACCTCACTCATGGTGCCCTCCTGATGCTCACCATGTCCAACAGCAAATCGCCAATCACGTCTCCAACGCCCGCGAACCTTGCTCATGTTTCCTTCCTCATCCTCTTTCTCTTCCTCCTCCCCTTCCTCCTCATACCCCAACTGTCATGGCACCCCACGTTCGCAAACGACGGTCAAAGGTGGTGTCGAAAAAGCTCCCGGATGCCCCCAAGAGCCTTCAAAGAGGCCCCTGAGAGACATCCCAGGAGACCCTCATATTCATCCACGAGGCTCCTGACCCACAGCCCAGGCGGGTGGCAAATTGGGCCGAAGGCCACTGGATACCTTTCACGGTCGTCGAAACATCTCGCTCATCTTCTTCTTCTTCTCCTCCTCCTCCTCCTCCTCGTCCTCCTCGTCCTCTGCCTCCTCCGTCTCCTCCTGCGCCTCCCAGTTCTCACACCCACATGCCAGAAGACGCCCCCCATGTCAGCAGACGCCCCGCTCTGGGGACGCCACCAGCAAAGCTCCTAAGACCCCCCCGACCTCGGAGCGACTGCGGGGCAGCTCCTTACCGCTCTGCGTAGCTTTGCCGAGGCCACTCTTTGGGAACGCCACCACGGGAGCCTTAAGAAAACGCCGATCTGTAGAACGACACCGCCGCGACACCGGACTGCTCCTACGCTTTTCAAAGACCACGCGCGTACCCAAGTCTGGCGGCGAGCGAGGGGGGGAAACGAGAAGGAGAGGGCCTTCTCAGAAGGCTCGGAAGTCCCCCGGCCTTCTGAGAAGTTCTCTAAGCCTTCCCCGAAGACACAGAAAAGCTATCAGAAGGCGCGAGGGCTTCTGAGAAGTCCCGCCGCCTTCTGAGAGGGCCTTCTCCTTCTCACTTCCCCCCTCGCTCGCCGCCGACGAGTGCTACTTTCATGGACACGCTCGGCGGCTTGCTCCCCGCCCGCTCTTCGCACGAGACGCTTATCCCACTGCAGCGTTCTTCGCGAGATTCGCGTTCAATGGCTCCCTGCTCTACCAAAGCGACTCCGAGGAAACCAGTTTTGGCATGGGCCAGGACACTGAAACGCTTGCCACGCGCCGACCAACGCCTCGCACCCCGCCTTACTCCCTCTTTTCGAACGACGATTCCTCTGCTCCCACGCTACGTGCGCCTGCCGTCGAACACCCGCAAACGGTGCATTGCAATTCTCGCCCCGTTCGCTGCGTCTGCCTCGTCGCGTCTTCTCCCGTCGCTCCAATGCACGGACGCTCGCCCCCGCGGTTTCCCCGCTTCGCTCCACGGAACGCCTCGGCCCGCAACGTCCGACCACACCCCGCCGAAGTTGCACCGATACGCAAC